GTGTTTGGGTTCAATTTACATTGTTTTTGTGTTACCAATGTAGGAAGTAGAGCATATATAGAGCAATCGAATCCCTTTCCCAAAGATGGGAAACAGGTCAATATTGCAAACCCATATTGTTTCCTCACTTTGATTGTGTTTATTTGAACAAGCTTAAACCTTTGTGTTTGTATCTGTGTCTTTAGGGCTGGTACAGTGGAGGATTTGGATATGGATTATGGATTGGAACACTCGTTGCGTCTGGCTTTTCTGTCGTTCCAGTTCCTGCATCCTTGTGGAAGAGGCATTTTCAACTCGCGGGTGGAAGCTGCGCAAAGGTGAATGATCCGTGTTGTCGAATTTTTATGATTTAAAACCAGATCTCTCGATTGAATAAAGTTTTCTTTAAAAAAAATATAGGATGATAGCAGACGAGTTGCATCAGAATTGTTTCCATGGCTTAGTTCGCAACTCAAGAGAAAAAAAGACCATGGTCGAGCTGAGGCACTTCTCATTGCTGCATATGGTGAAGCCCTTAATCCAGTTAAGTTGCTGAATCCGCCGCAAGAATTGGTCTCTCGCATTAACTACTTAGAAAACTAGTCACTGGAGATCCAGCAATGTTCTAGTTTTCTTGACTCAACTCATTAATTTCTTATTAAGCAATTACAATTTGTAGTCGAAACGTAACTTTACTAATTGTTATTGTTAAGACACTCAAATGAATTAGAAAAGAAAAGAAAGATATATATATAGCTTTCGTTTCCAGGTTTTGATATCACCATTCACCAGGACCAAAGCTAACCAAAACTCATTTGATCCAGGTTTTGATATCACCGTCATTCTTGACCCTTCATCTTACTTGCCTTGCTTTATTCATTCCCTCAAGTCTACATCAAGAGCAAATGGTTGGATTGTGTCCTTGATACAAGGAAATTGACTTATAAGTTCCATGCCATCATCCCCTTCTCTAATGTCCGTGTCTCCAACTATATTGTGAAGATAATGTGCATCCAACAGGGAGAATGGAAGCGATCCCTTGGAGTAAAAATCATTGGTGAGGCGCTAACTTGTCGCGGCTAATAAGATCAACTGCACCGGTCAGTTCTTTTGGCCCTACAAGTGTAAAAAGATAATAGCAAATGTGTAAGCCCTCACCCAAACATTATTTACAAGGATAAAAGGATACATTTGTGCCATAGTCTACTAAATGTCTTCAGCCGAAAAGGGACATCTTACGGCAAGCAAGCGTGCAAATTTGTACGACATTTGACATGAAAAGTCATGATGCTGGCGGATCAAAGACAAACAGACTATAAATTGCAAAATATATATTGAGAAAAGAGTCAAGGGTTATGCTTAATTATGGGTTCTTAATTCAATTATCCATTTTGGGTTAAATCCAAAATTAAGCCCAATGTTATACAAATTTTAGTTTTAAATTTTTTAATATAATAAAACCATGGGAAATTGGCATAAATGACGCAAAAAAAAAAAATTATAATTGAGTGAGTAGCAAAAAATACTGTGCCCGAGTGTGTAATATTGAAGACAATTTTGCCTTTACTGTCATTTTTTTTGTTTTTTATTGAAGTAATAATGTGTGGACGCTTCATGTATGGTTTACTGTATGAACCTTGATGTCTTCAATCACCACCAGACAGATTTTGTGATGACATCACTAACTTCACACATACCTCTGTTCTCAAGTGTTGAGGATAAAAAAGTCAACTCACCAATCTCATTTGCTATTTCCTACATTAAATTTATTACGTTGTTATTACCCAAATTCTAAATTAAAATTGTGCTACTTTGCTAACTAACCCTAAAACCATTTCATTTAAAAAAAATCCAAGAACTCAAATTAACATGTATATAAATACAAATTTATTTTAGCAAACGATATAGAACATAAATATTTTTCATAATAAATTTGTTATTTTGAAATACCAACAAATAGCTAGGTAGCACGTAATTATAAATAGTTAAAAACCTTATAGAAAGACAAACCGGTATTGACAACTATCACACTATCTTTTATTCTAGAAAGAGTCCTATTGCAGCCCCATGAAAATATCTTTCGAGAGACTTTGATGTTGATCTTTGACTCATTCTTACAGTGAATGAAATCAAAAATATTTTACCTTAACTTTGCGCATATATCTTCGTGAAGTTTTACATATTTCATCTTTTTCATCAAACCATGCACTAAATTCTCTTTTCTCATATAGTTTAATCATCTCAATATTTATAGTATATAATGTTTCTAAATATTAATCTCCACATATCTTTGATTTTGATTATCTTAAAATATGAAGTTTAAAATCTCAATAAATAATAGTTTAAGTTTGTAAGTTGGTCTAAAAGTGAAAAAAAAATTATTCTTTAAAAATTTTATCATTCGATTAAATTATATTCTTTTTATTGGTGATTTTTTTCAATAACTATTTTCCCTATTTGTCTATTTTTAGTCACCAAATTTTTTATAAATCTATAAATTATTCTCATTTTAGTCGAACATGAATTAATTTTTTAACACTCGTAAAAATTGTTTAAAATTCTAAAAATCTAATCACAAATAGGCACAAAATGAATTTCTTCTAATC